GTCTCTTGGAATCGACCATGACGAGCAACCGCTGAGATAGATCTAGTTCTTCCTCGTCGCGTAAAGCTTTTTGATGCGCTAACTCGAATTCGACAATGCGACGCGTGTCGGATATTTGCTCCTCGGAAACCCTGGAACTGGCTGCTATCAATTTACCTTTCTCGGCCACCGTCAGACGTCTACCGGAAGACATAAACTGACTCTAAAACAAGGGAAATAGAGAGAGAGAGAGAGAGAGAGAGAGAGAGAAGTTAGAGAGAGGAAATACCTGTGTGAAGCAAAGAAGATGAACAACTGAAGGGGGAAGGGGGTATTTATAGGAGAGAAGGCAGACGCGCGTTTCGATGAGCCATAATTAGGTCTACTAGGCCTATTGGGCCTACTTTATGCCTAAAAACGCGGGAATCGGTCCAAGACCCTTCCTTTACCAATTAAACGAATCCCCGCGAACCGCCTCGGCCCGGTTAAACCGGCCTCGGCAACGAAACCGAGCAATTTATTCTCTCAACCATCACGCTTTATTTCACTAAGCCCGCGCATCAGCCATAGTGAACTGGGGGGGACTTACTGTAGAGGATGGATTTACATCCTACCTTCAAGGCCCATCGAATAAAGCTGCGGCCCGTTACTCGGCCCAAGTACGCAAAGAGAGTTCGTGCCCGCAAGACGACAAGGAATTCCGGACGGGTACACTTCATTGTTCAGTACCGAGTAGGTGGGTTCGGCTCATCTAGAAGCCCACGGAGAAAAGGAGACAGCCCATTAGGGTTGTCTGTACGAATACCTATAAAAGCAAAGCGATACCTAACTTAGAGTGGGGGTGGAAAAATAGACTGACTAGGCGGCAGCAAAATTAGGGTTTTACTCATCTATTGCTCTTAGATCAGTCCGTACTATCTCGTTAGCTCCCGAGCACCGAAGTTCTCCTTGTATTCGCTTTCTCTTAGATCAATAAACTACTCTTTGTTCCATTTGTCTGTTCGCACCTTCGTAATAACCCAGCGACGAGTTTCCGTCAATCATTTACTTGTTATCACCGAACTCGGTTCAAACAATGGCTAGACATGATCACCGGCATAATGACTGCTTCACGTCTTCTCTGATGGCGAAGCACACGAGCTCATGAACAAGGATAAAGAGAAAGAGAGATATCATGGGAGATCGAAGAAGCTCTGATGGAGGAGGCGGCTGCCTCGAGAGGAAGGAGATGATGCATATATATATTATTAGGTATATAATAACCCATACACACGCGGGAAAGGTAAAAGACTGGATGGTTCATACTTTTCTTAAATAATGAAACCAAACTCGGTTTAGTGAGTGGTTTAGAAGAATTAGTTTTAAAATATAAAACAAACATCCGGTTACTGAAATCCGGGTCGTTACAGTAATACTCATGGAACTTTCTTCATGAGCTAAACTATGATTCCTACAGCTCTACCTTGTTTGAAACATATCTCCTTCATCTATTGGCTATTGTTGCCATTCAAGCTGCTGGTGTAGACAGAAGAGAACTAGCTCAGATTTGGAGAAAGCGAGGAAAATGCCCTCTGACTCCGTATGTACAAGTATGCATACATATAAATGGTGCATAATATTCTGTTCCTGAACAAAAAAAAAGCATTAGCAGAACTCAATTCTCATGGGCTTAAAGGCGTGAAATTGAAGAATGCTCTTTGGGAAGTTTATAAACATGATTTTATAACTGGTAGAAGATTTGATCTGCGACTGTGATCAAGGGCTTCTGTGGATTAGAGTTGTAATGCTGATTCTTTTCTCACTTCACTCTTGATTTGAGACAGGACATTTGGAACGGTAACACTGGTCAGTAACGATAACAATTAGCTTCTGATTTCTTTGATAAAAAGGTCAAACCGCAAAATAAACAGTCTTTTAGTTTCTCTCATTGAAACAACAAGAGCACAAGGATGATAATAAACAATGTCATAAAAAGATTGGCTGAGTTCAAGAAGATTGGAGCTGTTACAGAGTCCCGGAGCTTGAGGATGAGACCAAACTGAAAAAAAGAATGAAGAGTGTTGCAGAAAAACACAACACCAGTTTCACAGAAACTTGGATCGTCTTGTTTACTATAAATCCATAGTTAAGATTCTGCTTATGTGATGATACACAAAAGCATAAGAAGATACACAAGAAAATCATAATCAAGTATCGCCCAAACCGACCAAAACAAACCAGAAGAAAAAATAAAAAAAGGTAACTCATTTAAGGGCTTTCTTTGTTACAACACAGTGCCACTTTATTCTCCTCGTCCAATGTTAAATTTAGCAGAATCCACTTTTAAGACCAAGTTACTCCTCCGCGACAAGTCTATATTAGCATCCTAGTCATCAATCTTATTGGTCACCCAAATCCTCATCACATCTGACCTGCTATCAATGTGTAACAAGGAGAGTTTTTCATCCCTAAAGATGGAAAGAACCATGTCTTCTACAAAAATAAAACTCTGAAACGGAAGAGGGAGACGCACAAATCTCTCTGTCGTGAAATCAAACCTCATGAAGAAAAAGGCCCTTTCTTCATGTCCAGCAACCCAATAAGTGTCTCCTTTCAAAGACACGCCATCGGAATACACGGAGTAGTCACGAGTGAATTAATTAAGAACTCTCCAAGAATCAGAGCAAAGCTCATATATCTCACACTATGTTCGTTTCGACAATACCGACACTTTCTGGTCATTTCGACAATACCAATACCTCAAGATTTTGTAGCTATGGCCAGAAGAAGATGTGCTATATCCTAGTGCATATTTTATCTGTATAGCGGTAACGAGTTCTTGGTTTGATCTTCCTCGTTTGTCCATCCATTACATGGGTTCCAAACCACAAGTCTAGTGTTATTCTTCGTTGAGCTTTCTCAATAACATCGACTCCCTCGCTGATTTACCCAACCTCTTGTTCCACTCTGAACAAAGCCTACCATCGCTTGCAAGTTGTTTTATTAGTTCACATAGAGACTTGGCCGTAACACTAGAGAGTATTTCCACTTCAAAATCGTTTGGAAGATCGCATATCAGCATCCTCTTCAAGACAGTTTGAAAGGGAACAATTGCTGGAATGGACCACAATCCCTTGGAAAAAATCTAATATAGACCCATTGTTTTGTCTGATCAAAAAAAAAAGACCCATTGTTTTGTAAATTTTCTTTTTATTAAATTTAATTCGAAAATTGTTAAACCTTAAAAATTTACTTATTTACAGATCCAACCACGATTTGGACCCAAATCCATATGCCTAAAATTCGACTGAAATTCATTTTTTTTTAATATTTAAATTTATTTTAACTATTTATACATATACAATTATTCTAGTAGTGTACTAATTATACAGTTAAACTAGTTATACTAATATACTAATTATACAATTCAACTAGTTATACAATTTTATTAGTTATACTAATCTATCAATTTTATTAGCTCATCCAGGTCGACAATGGTGGTAGACAAATCTGAAAAAGACTTCACCGCAACTGGCATGTGTAAGACCAAACCGCAAATCTGTCGCCTTATTTGTCAAGACCACCTACAGAGGCATCCCAAGGCCACAAAATTCTAATTTCAAAGAGAAGCTCCGACTCCGAACCGCGCCACCACAACTATGAATAGTGTCTGTAAACCTAGCCAACACAACTATTATTCATTATGTTAGCCATAATAATTGTGAAATTTAGTATGAAATTATATGTTTTAAGTAGTTGTACTAGTTACACTAATTGTATTATTTTTCAAAAAAATACATTTTTCTCTTTTTGTTTTCGAAGCCGAAGAGGGCAATTATGAAACCAAAAAATGTTGAAATAAAGAGAATTTAAAAAAGCATATCCTAAAAGATGATGCATAAGCCATGTCGATTTTCTTTACCAATGAGTGGTATAACTAATATTACATGTTTAATTACATCAATATTAGTTTCACTTGTACAATTGTTTAACTACGATAATAGTAGTATAACTAGTTTAACTACGACAAATTTGTGTTGTTTTAACATTTGGATGGTAAACCTCTCGCTTCCAGAGCCTGAGAGTAATCTTTGTTGCTTGTACCATGCCAAGAAGGAGGTTGAGAATTGACGAATAAATAATACAATTATTAGTTTTAAAACGTGATATACAACTAAAACGTGATACACATGTAAACCCTCCCTGTGGGATCTAAGTTGGCTCTGCAGAGCACCGATCCTAAGCATTATACTCTCTCTATGTAGCTTATTGGTGCAGTTGGCGTTTCTCAAACCAAAAACCTCACTTTCAACAACTCTCCCACATGACAAATTTTCACCAATCGACCTGCAGATCAATTGGTGACAACTTTTTCCTGTGGGAGGACTGTTAAAGGGTGAGGTCTTGGGTTCGAGGAACGTCAAAGCGCACCAATAACCTACCTGGAGAAAGCTTAGGACTTAAAGGTGAGGGATTATGGTCGGTGTTTTACAGAGTCATCATGGGTCCCACGGAGCGGGTTGTTACGGTACGAGTTGTGGATCATATTTCTTCATGCATGTCGAGTATATCGGTGCTATACTCCTTGTAAATGAGAGAAATCGGGTGGCCGTGATCGAAAAAGGGAAATATGATCCTATAGTTGAGAAAAAGAGGAAATGGATCCTAGCCGAAGGAGAGAAGACAAATTGTGTGGCTCGGATTAAAGGAGATGTGAGATGATCTAATGGTTGAGATTGCACTTTCATTAATTGTTTTACCGGCTGTACATAGATGTACTGGTTTTTGAGTTGTACCATTTTTTGCATAGTTGTATTTAGTTAGTGAAATAAAAAAATATTAGTTGTACCACATAATAAATACAGTTACCTCAGTGGTACCACTTATTTATGTTTACATGTCTTTGCTCGATTACAATGAAATCATCAGTTTTGTAAAAATACATTTGTATTTTTTCCAAAATTAAGTTGACAAACAAGTTAACAATTTTAAAAGTATAAAGATCATGTAATCTTGTGGAGTTGTGTAATAATTTTTCCAAAATGATGCCGTCGGAGGCGGAGATCTTAGTGAATTCAGCTCCGGCCAAGAATTTCTGGGGAGAGATGCCGGAGGAAGAGTACTACACTTTTTAAGGTGTGCGTAACAGCAAATCCTACTTTGAAACACCCAACGGCAACCTCTTCACTCAGAGCTTTCTTCCCTTAGATGGTGAAGTCAAAGGTACGGTGTACATGTCTCACGGGTACGGTTCCGACACGAGCTGGATGTTCCAGAAGATCTGCATGAATTTCGCCACTTGGGGTTACGCCATTTTTGCCGCCGATCTCCTTGGTCACGGCCGCTCCGACGGAATCCGCTGCTACGTGGGTTCGTTTCTTTCATTCTCTGTTTTTGTACTAGACACTAGTCCCCTCTTAGTTCTTTTTTGTTCGGTTTTCGATTTCGTTTTTGGTTCTGTTAGACTTGGTTTTCCGGGTTTTTTTTCTCTTTTTTCTTATGCCACAGATATAACAACTGTTAGGGTAGTTACGTTTCGGTTTGCTTATTTTTGTTTTAGGTTGGGTTAAGGAAAGAATGTCGAGCACCGAGTAAAATCCAAAAAAAAGTTGACTCCAACTTTGTTCTGGTTGATTCTGTTTTTTGGAAAATAATAGTTATAACACTATCCTTTTTGATTAAATATTGGGTGATTCAGATTCCTCGGAGTAATTGACAGACAATTCAAACAATTAAGGTTTTTTGGATAATTTGGTGATAAATAATATTTTTAAAGTATTTGGTTGTTTTTAAATTAAATATAAATTATATTTATTATACTACTATTTGCGAAGTGATTTTTCGCAATGGAACTTCCACGTTAAAAGTTGGAGTGGTTAATATCGTTTATACCCTTAATGAATAAAATATATAAATCATTTAGAAATAAAAACGAATTTAATATTTATTTAATTAGATAAATGATTTAACTTAATAATAATCTATACTATTATTTGTGAAGGGATTTTTCGCAATGGAGCTCCCACGTTAAAAGTTGGAGTGGTTAATATCGTTTATACCCTTAATGAATAAACTATATAAATCAGTCAGAAATAAAAACGAATTTAATACTTATTTAATTAGATAAATGATTTAAATTAATAATAATGATAAGAATGATCCATAATCTAAATATATATTTAAAAATAAAAAAGATAATTCCTATATATATTGTGTTGTTATCCGGAAAATAAATTTTTAATAAAAAACTCAAAATCAGAAAACACATAAATAAATATTCATAAAATAAAAAAAATTCATTTGAAAAAATTATAAAACGTAATTATTTTCAAAAGAAAAGAATATAATATTATAATATAATGATATATATATTTGTGAAGTTATTTTTCGCCTCTGAACTCACACGTTGAGTTAAATTTATATTTATATTTTATATAGTTAAACCTTAAACATGAATTAATCATATAAAATAAAAGGCCATTCAAAAAGAAAGAAAATACGTGTTTGACAAATATAAATTCAAATATATTGTATTATTATCCAAACTAATATTATTATTTCTGTAAGATCAATTTTTGAATGTATATTTATCTATTCAATTTTTCAAATTGAAAGATAGATTTCTATATTTTCTATCAATTAAGATGAAATGAATTAGACTTTAGATTTTTCAAAGTTTTAATTTGTGAATAACTTTATTTGTGAATAATTTTAATAGTTTAGGTCGAATTTTTTTTTGGATACAAATAATCATATATTTTGATGATTTTTTAAATTGATTTAAATATAATTAAGCCCGCATTTGCGGACAAAACACCTAGTTTTAAGTATATAAACTGTATTTTAGATATTTCCGTATATTTTCATTCCGGTTCAGTTTTGTTTTTCACAAATAGAAACCGTTCTGATATTTGTAATTTGGATTCAGTACTTTGATTCACTTTTTGGTTTGGTATTCTGTTTAAATGCCCAGGCAAAACAGAGAGCTTACTTGAGACTCAAGTCTCAAAGCAAATTATGGTTTTAGGAGGAAGGTTTCAATGGCTTTCTTTGTTTGTTTCCTCAGGTGATTTGGAGAAAGTTGCAGCAACATCACTGTCTTTCTTTAAGCATGTTCTTTGCAGCGATCCGTATAAGCATCTCCCTGCTTTCCTCTTTGGTGAGTCCATGGGAGGTCTTGCTACGCTTCTCATGTACTTTCAGTCTGAGCCTGATATTTGGACCGGTATGATCTTCTCTGCTCGTCTCTTCGTTATCCCGGAAGATATGAAACCAAGTAAGGCTCACCTTTTTACCTATGTCCTCGTCTTTGGCTTGGCTGATACTAAAAATACATTTTGCTAAGATGTTCTGTGTCAGTTCGTGAAGTACTACAGGAGGTATTACATGTGTGTGTCATGAAGATGAGCTATGCTGGAGTTCGTGTTTCTTGATGAGTGTGGGCTTACTAGGATTAGAAAAGGAAAGAATATATGTGTTTGAAGATATATGGACGTTTTCCATAAAGCAAAAGGAATTTTGTTGAAGATGAAGTTTTCCATTAAAGATATGGAAAGTTTCATTAAGTGTATTTGGAAGACTTGAAGAGCAAGTTCAAGACGTGGAGAACAAGTTCTGGTCTTATATATTAAGGAAGACGTGCCTTATGAGAAAGCCAGACCTCATTGAAGAGAGAGAGGTTTCCTTGGTGTGTGTTACTGCTTGGTGTCGAAGCAGTGCCTGAAGCAGTTTCCGATGGAGTCCGATGTGGACTTAGTTTTGTGGCGTTAGAGTTGGCGCTTTGTGTGGTAGAGTTTCCATCGTGTGTAGCGCTCGTGGTGAGCTTTGTGTGTTGCTTGGGTGATCAAGCATTTTGTGTCACTGTTGTGCGTTGAGTGCTGACGTACTTTGTGAAGTGCTTCCGAGATGTGGAAGATTGAAGCCTAGACTCAGGGGGGGTTTAGCAAAGGCGGTTATATTGAAGAGGTCTGTGAAGATTGCTGCTGTAGAAGACAGTGTGCTCTGGCATGCCAAGATGGTGTTGTATGCATGCGTGCTGATACCTAATCTTTGTAGATTGTTTCTTAGAAAAGAGTGGTAAACACTAGTGAGTGTGTTGTACCATATAGCAATTGTAGGTTGCTCCTTGTTCTAAGTCAATAAAATCTGGACTGGGTCCCGAGGATGTAGGAAACAAACCCCATTAACAAATTTGATGTGTCTTACATTCTGCACTATTTTTTTCGTCGCCTCATCTACATCAACAATTGGTATCAGAGCGGGTCACCTAAGTTACCGGTGTAATCCTGAAGGTGAAGATGGACACGATTGTTACGATGCAGAAGGCAATCATGTTGAATGCGGACCAGTATGGTCATTGGAAGGCCCGCATGAAGCAGATGATTCGAGGAATCAATGAAGATGCGTGGACAGCTGTGGAGATTGGTTGGGAGGAGCCTACCATAGTCACAGGAGAGGAGAAGAAGCCAAAGCCAAAAGAGGATTGGTCAGAGGCGGAGCGTAATGCATCAAAATTTAATGCAAAGGCGTTGTCAGTGATTTTTGGAGCCGTTGAAGCAGAGCAGTTCCAGCTGATTCAGGGGAGTACTTCCGCAAAAGAGGCGTGGGAGATCCTGCTGAATTCGTTTAAGGGAGATGAGAGTGTCAAGAGGACACACCTAGATCATCTTGGGTCGCAGTTTGAGAATCTCAGATGGTCTGATGCTGATTCTGTGGCGAGCTTTAGTGCCAAACTCAGTGCTATGGCGCATAAAGCATTTGTACGTGGGAAGAAGTACAAGGAGAAGAAGCTGGTAAAGAAGTTACTACGCTGTCTTCCAAAGAAGTTTGAAGCTCACAAGGCAGTCCTACAGATGACTACCAACACTGATGAGCTCAAGTTTGATAAGCTTGTGGGTATGCTGAAGGCACAAGATATGGAGACAGATAGTAGTTCAGTCTCTACGTTAAGCAGTGCACCAGGGAGTATAGCGCTTGCAGCTGACAAAGATGGTGATAGATTCCAGAAGCTTGAAGATACTGTGGGTATGTTGGCTAAGAATTTTGGTAGGAAGATTCTTTCTGGTGGCAGAAATCAGTATGATCGTCAAGGAGGTGATCGTGGCAATGGTAGAAGAAGAGACTTTATCAAGTGCTACGAGTGTGAAGGAGTTGGTCATGTGAGGGCTGACTGTCCTATGGCACAATGAAAGGAACTTAAGTGTTCCGAGTGCAGAGGTGTTGGACACACAAGGCGCGAATGTCCAAACTCAAAGAAGGGAAAATGAGCTCAGTCGTCTGATGATTCAGAGTCTGAAGAAGATGACAAGGTGTTGAAGAACATGGTTGCAGTTGGTGCACGTAAGAAGGGATCTAGTGAATCCACTGATTCAGATCGTACTACAGATGATGAGGAGTATCATGTGCTGCTCAACAAGTGGTTGAGGGTCAAGGATCAGAATCTGAGATTGGAGAATGTGGCTCAGAAGCAAAATAAGATGCTTGAAGAACTTCATGAAGAACTTGCGTCTGTAGAAGAGAAGAATGAGTCTCTTGAAGAGGAAGTTAGCAAACTGAGAAGAGTTGCTACTGGTGAACAAGAGAGAGCAAGGAAGCTGGAACGTGATTTGGCTGAGAATCACAAACAGATCAGAATGCTCAATAGTGGATCCAAGGAGTTGGATAAGATACTCTCAATGGGACAACCAGCCAAGGCAAATTGGGGACT